ACTTTACTATGCAAGATGTTGAAGGTCAAGGCCATAACATTGCTGCCCGAGACGTGCTACGCAAGAAATCTCTAAGTCGAAGCACGGATGCTAGACGTAGCTCGGTCGGGGCAGACCCTGTTGCTGCCCAACGTGGATCACCTTTGGCGCAGCAAACTGGGCAGGGTCATAATAACAATGCACCTCAGGGAGTATCACGTTCGCAGTCCCTTCGACAATTACCTCAAGGAAATGTTGTACCACAAAATCAACCTCCCGCTGCGCCTACGCCACCACCACAGGGACAACAAGGCCTAGGACGCATCGAGGAGTACGAAGAAGCTCCCAGCGCAACAGTGAGTCGGTCTTCGACTGTGAGTGTATCAACAGACATGAGGAAGGGATCAGTAGGTTCGTCGGTGCAACCAAGTCCGATGGGAAGTCGAAGAACAAGTTGGCAAGCTGAAAGCCCGAAAAACGTTTCACCTGTCCATTTCCAAGGACAGCAGGGCCCAACTCCACAGGGCCACACAGGACAGCCTATGTATCAAGTGCAAACTCCTCCAGGTGCTCCTATGGCAGCTCAGAACCCGAAGCAGTTGCAACGAAAACCCTCACAAGGACATGCACCCCAGCACCAAAACCAACAAATGTCTGCCCGAGATTCGAGAGCACCTCAAGGAGTGCCTCCACAGCAAGGCTCTGGATCACAAGGACAACCTATACAAGGTCAGGTGATGCCACCCCAGGTTCAAGGGAAAGCTCCTCATCCTGGACAGATACCTACACCGGTGCAGAATGTTCTCCATAAACCTCCTCCTGCACCTACACCAACGCCTCCAGCGTTAGCCCCTAAGCCTACACCAACGAGGTTGCAAAAGCGCTCGTCTTATCCAGCCAGTCCAGCAGGACAACTTCCTCCTCAACCCCAGTTCCCGCAGGAACCTGCTCCTCCTGGGCAAATGCAACAAGGTCCAATGGCAGGCCCAATGGCTCCACAAGGACAGCAACAAATGGCTTATCATGGCCAAAGTTCCAACGGGAGAGTGCAACCGCAGGTCCAGATTCCTCCAAACCAACAACAATGGCAGCCTGGCATGCAGCCTATGACACCTCAGGGCTCTCGCCCAGTCTCTATGCAGATGCCACCTCAGGCTTCACAAAGCGCTGGGGCAAAGGAAGGCAAGGAGGGAAAGAAGTGGCTCAAGTGGTTGAAGGGTGGCTCCAAATCTGTTTCGCATAGTCCAACTACGCCAGTCATTTCTTCACCTATATCACCTGCTGTTGGACGTCCCAGTTGGGGCGGTGGAGAGTATGCTCAGCAAGCTGTATGGCAGCCCGGGCACCCTATGTCTTCTGCCCAACCAGGCTTCCAGGGAAAAATGGTGCCTCCTCAATCTCAACCCGGGCAGATGCGTCAACCAGCTCAACCACCAACGCAACCCGTCCAGGCACCCCCTCAGCATGGCCAGATGGGTTCCAGACCTGGTCAACCACTTCCTCGGACTGGACCACTACCGCATCAAGCCGCTCAGTCTCCCCAGACCAGTCAAGTGTCTCAGCAGCCAAGCCAAATGCCTCCCCAATCTGGACAGATGCTTCATCAAGGAGGCCCTCCAGGCCAGATCCTCCCTCAAACCATGCAATCGCCTCCTCAACAACGGCAACCACTTCAGCACAGACAAATGCCACTACAGCAAGGACAGATAAATACCCAGCCAGGGCCACTACCGACTCCATCGAGCCAAATTCCTCCTCAAGCAATGCAGTTTCCGCCCCAGAGCCGACAGTCACCTCCCCAGCAGGAACGAATGCCCACTCAACAGGTCCAAACGCAACCGCAGTCTAATCAAATGACGTCTCGACCTGGCCAACTTCCTCCCCCAGGTCCAGCACCGAGAGATCGACAGCCCGAGCCTAGAGGATACTCAACGGGAGGGCCATCTGTAGGAGTCTCGGCTACACAGCCTATGACTCTACCTCCTAAAGTGCCAGAAACTTCCATGGTTCCTCCTGTCAGAGTTGAACCGAGCAACATTTCTCAGTTACAAGCGCCACTTCAAAGACAACCATCGCCAGCTCAAACAAAAGCTTTGGAGCAAGCACCTATGCCTCAGTCCAAAACTGCTCAGCCGCCTCAACCTCCACAAATTGCTGCGTCAAACACCCTTCGACCTCAGCCAAACAGCCAGAGAGCTATATCTCCACCCCCGCCTGCCGTGAGTCCCGGCTTGTCTGACGCGGCTGCTTCATCGATAAGTCGCATGTCCTCTTACAGAAGAGACAGCTTCTCGGACGCTGGGTCAATCACGACCATCGAGGTGGCTCAGGCCCAGCCACAGCCTGTCTTGAAACCTTCCATCGTTCAAGTTCACAGGAGATCAACTGACATGATGAACAAGTCTCAGGTCCATCTGAACAACGACTCTCAGTCAAGCTCGGATGTGACTCCGAGAATATCCGCAGAGACTGCTCGTGTGGGAACAGAGGCTGCTCAGATTCCCTCAAACCTACAATATCAGCAGCCTGCTTCTAGACCTGAGCCCATACCTCAGGTTAACACTTCCAAGCACAATGTCCCTACAGCATCTTTGCCCTCTAAACCCGACGAGCCAAAGTTGGTCCAACCTCCTACACGGGACCAACATATGGAAAAGGAACCAGCACCACGCAAGGCTGATCATCACTCAGCGGCTTACGCCAATTCCAGTGCTCAAAACCAACATAACAGTAATACCAAACTGATTTCGAATATACCCCAACCAGCACCTGCCAAGCCAGCTGCCCCAGTCGCAGAAGACAAATGGGCAAAGAAACCAGTAGTAGACTATTCTGGTGGAGACTGGGGAGATGACGATGATTGGGACTACTGATATCTTGATTGTATACATTGCTTCACATTTCTTAGCAATCATATGGCGGAGTTCACTATCTATTGTCAAGGGTTTAAGATTGTATAAGAGCAGGAACTTAATCGGGGAAATCTAGATAGAAAACTTAGTAATCAACAATCAAGAGTTGGGAGTTGGTTGTTTTCTGGTGCTTATAGCCATTGACACTGTTTGCTGGTGATTCACTTCCCTTTCATGACTGCTTTTGTTCTTAGAGTAGCACGCTGGAAACAATCGGCGCAACATTCTCCTGCTCGCTCTGAGAGGTGTCTTCAACAAAACGCAACGACAATGTTTGTTTATTTTGGCAGAGGGATGAGTCACCTGCCTCTAATAATGGTTGTGTTGGGTAAACTCTGCAGTTGAAAGAAGACCCTCAAGACATAAGTTAACGATGAATGCAAACAATACCTGAAGGCGACCCTAAGTTTTCCCGAACGTTTCTAGGTATGCAAGTATAGCTTTTGGGACCAAGGGTGTTAGCATGACATCCGCTTCAGAGTCCGGGTAAGATCTTGTACTAGATCTAAGATATTCTGGTTCTGGTCGATCTCATATATCTGGATATCGAATTGACGGTCACGGTGAGGTACTTAGAGGTTTGGAGCTGCAGGGTTTTATATGAGGCTGGCAGTGATCTGGCACTGCATGGCACTTCGAACTCGGCGTTATAGCCAACTCCTTATTCTTGTTTTCATACTGCGCCATTACATCCTCACCTCAGAAAGTTTTCTTTATCACCAAGCATTTCCTTCCGACTAAACACACATTTTCTCATTCTTCCTACCTACTGGGTGCTTTGTTAGTCTCTCTGCACTTCACTGTCGCCAAATCTCGGTGAAGATACTCACTCTTCGATATTCCGTTCAGACTGAGGTGATCTGTGGCGAAGCTTTCAAACTTTGAAAACGACAGTTCTCCAGTGTTTGGGGCCGTAACACCAAGCGAAGTTGCTAGCATTTGACGAAGCTAACTACTTCTACCCTTTGTTTTGTTTTCCCATCTTCGCTTCCGTCACTCCGCAAACTTTTGACGGCACCTCACAAAGATTCATCCAAACAAACATCCCCATCTTCTTATATCTGTCGCGCTCCGCGCGCACTGCCGTTTTATCCCCTCTCTCTTGAGTTATTGCATCTCTGCTTCTAAATCTTACACGCAAGAGAAGACAAGACGTTTATCCAGGACATCTTCTCTCTATATATATAGTTCTTGCGGCACAGTCTCAAGCCGGGATTCGGCTGCCAGCTACGATATATTGGGTTGTCATCTCTCCCTTGATGCCAAAATAACGAATCTGTACGTCTTTATTCTTCATGCCCGTCTCTTCATCTCTGACAATATCATCTTCTGCAAAGCCTCGGTGCTGACAACATGTAAGACAACAAGAACACCTCTATATCTAGAACCGAGTCTTATGAAGGAGCGTGCCTATCAACGCTCAAAGACTTACTCATTTTCTTTTAGGTGCTGGCCCAAGTCGCCAGACTGCAGCATTGGCGGGCCGTCTACAGGTCGCACCCAGCACTGTCTCTCAGGAAGTCAAGGTAGACCCTGACAGTCCCTTCGACTACCAGTTTCCTAAAGTTTCTGCGGAGCAATTGAAAAGGATCATTCACAAGCTCTTTGACCACCCAAACATGTTCACCATCCGTGATTGTCAGCGCGCCACCGCTGGATGCATGTTAAATTACAAACAGAATGCTAGGAGCACTGGAAACTGTCACAACCGACCGCACCCCGAGCTTCGCCTCCTGTGTTCTCGTCCAGAGACTTGCCGCTGGTCTGCGAAGGGGTGCATTCACGGGCAGAGGCATTAGCCAGAGAAACATTCAGCACCGCATCATTGTTCATCTTGTGATGCGCTGGAAATCCCATAGTTTCCCGGCAAACGTCAGGCTCTGGAGAAGGATATCAGCGAAGCATTCATAAGTTTGCTAGACAACTATATAATAAATTTCCATCCGCAAAGTGGTTCCCAAAATACGGCAGCTTTATCACGAAGTATTCTGCCAGAGCTGCGCGAAATGGTTCTCGAGCTGCTGGATGCAAGCAGTCTTGATGCGCTGACGAAAACGTCTTAACAATGCAGACAAATTTTAAATTTTTGGTCCTCGATTATTTTACCACATGGCACTCAGAGGATCCGAGAAAGTCGTAGAGCAAGGCCTCAAGACAATTCTTCGACCTTCTGCTCATATTTGCTGCGACCTCTTGGACAAGTCCGATATGTTCATCTCGCGGTAAGGAAATCACGATGAGATTCTGACGTTTCGAGCCATGCTATATTCTTCTTTTCGAGAGGACGACCACTACAGTCCGATAAACACAGCCATCGGCAAGCACAAGACTACCCCCCTTCGTTCCCCAATGACGAGTTGCCGACACTATTCCGCCAAGCATTGCAGGAGATGCCACTTCTATCCATCTCTGTCGATGTTGAGCTGGCATCCCCCACCTTGCCCGGAAGACTAGCACGAGGCCTTCGCTGTTTGACGGCCGACAGAGCCCCCCAAGTAGGTAGACAGTCAACATGGGAAAGCCTACGTGTTGCTTGGGACATATCATCACACGATATTGACAGAGAGAACTTTTACCACATGATGCGCGACATGTGTACCCCAGAATCACTAGAGCCACTGCACGTCCATGAAGATATTAACCCAATCTTCACGAGTCTCATCCGAACCGTGAGATTTCCGAATCTCAAGCGCCTTTCTGCCGTCCTCAACGAAGACAGGGCAGGCTGGGGGGTAATTCCAGTGAGAACCCTGAATGAGCTTATCGCCCGTAGATGCCACGGGCTTGAATGGCTGGTTCTTGATCACAAGCATACTCTACGTGAGGCATCCGCACCAGACGAGTCTTTGATGATGCATCCCGCCTCACTTGCAGACCTTGACATTGTAAGTTTCTGATTGATGATGGAAAGAAAACATCATTGTTGATTCATAGCTGACCATTGCTGTTTCTAGGACGTGGACCACGAGGATATGGCCGTCATGCTAGAGAAGGACTTCGAACGCCTAACACACTTAGCTGTCACTCTTCGCCAGGGCACACTGATCGATGGGATCAAATTTCAGGGTTATTCGTGCTCAGGGGCGAACATGCAGATACATAAATGGTACATTCTGTGTGCTACGTTTCCCTTTTCTCTTCTTGTTTACTAACCACCAGAGTGATAAATCAGAATTTCCTTTGAAGTTGCAAACAACAAATATCACCAAGGCTTTTAAATTCTAGACCAAGTATACGAGTTTGATTGCCCTGTCATAGCAACAAGAACACCTTTATATGATGTTGATCAGTGTTGAACCAGTTCTTTGTAGACATCAATATCTAAGAGGTATTCCAAGAGCTATCCTAAGGATTGCATAAACTTAGGAAACCTTAGTCCTAAATTTATGATAATTTAGGCTACCTCAGGCTAAACTCATCCTAAGAGATCAGATGATGATTGCCATTGACCCTGCGCCCCGTGCCGCGGATTTGAACATCGTGGTCCTACTGGCGGTTCTCGTCCTTGAGATACTATCGATCACCATCCGGTCGGGGCCCTTCTTCTCCACTGTCAACAGCATGATTACCAGAAGTTTTAATTCACAGCATGAAATGGGATATGCTACGACGACTTTTTGTAACGGATGGGAGAACGTTGAACGCGACTGTTCTGTCCAGTGGCATAACCCTAGCCAGTGGTGTTGAGGGCAAAATCCTGACGCTGGCTAGACATTCTGAATAGATGATGAAAATCAGAGGGCTTTCGTGGTTCTTGGTGACTTTAAAAGTGGTAAAAGTCTGAGTCAACAGCATGAAAGGGGTATGCGATGAAGTGTGAAGGGGTGAGAGTAGGCGTTGGAAGGAAAGGGGTGAGAGTGGAAGAATGGAGAGTAAGGAATGAAGGTTAGAGTAGAGATGAGGAGAGTGGAGCTGCGTAAGTTCGCATGAATTATACAGGAACACTGTAGTTAAAGTATGCAAGTTTCCACAGAAAAAGAATGAAAGCGAATTCTAAGCCAGGTAAGTTATTTACAGCCAGTAAAGCCACAAAACAAATATTTGGGCCTAAATTATAATGATAATTATCAGGGTGGTTTTAATTAAGTACCTTACTAATTGCCATTTAATAATATCCATCATGCAAGGATAAGTATATACTTGAGTACTCTACTTCTCCCATGAGCACCACAGTAGTTTACATAAGTCTGGCATCCATTGCCAATCTATATTGCTCTTATCAACCTGGGTAGTATGCACGGTCGAATGCCAATCCTCGTATCTGCCGAAAGAGTTATGTGATTTATTCGAACGAATGAAAGCCATACGCTCCCACGCTATCCTGATCTGTCAATATGAAGATATCGCGTACATGAAGTGAGTTCTTGCGGCCTTATGGGATATTACTTGTCCAAACCATTCAAAAGGTTGCTTGTAAAATTGCTTCTTATTCTTTCCGTGATTCTCCAGTACATTACATTTGTATTAAACGAAGTCTATGAAGATTGATGTTTGTTTTAGAAATCCTTCACGTTGGGAATCAAGAAGTGGCCATCATTGCCTCCTTTTTGGTTCGGTGTCAGATTCGGGTCGGTGCCATTTGTTATTAGAGGGGTTCCGGTGGCAAACCCCTGTGTAGCTTTGTCTGTGCACTCAACCATTCTTATTTGTTAGTAACGCGTTTTAAAGCCGCATTGGTTTTTTTCGAAAGTGAAGCCATTCACAAGTCGAAGCAAGAGGCACTCTATCAAGGTAATAATACCAAGCTTCTACAAGACCAACCGCAGCCAATTAGCAAGCAAATCAATACCAAAGTCTGTTTTGATTCACCTCACCTACACTGCCGCCTTCTTATACCAAATAAAATTTCTCCGCCATGCCTCTGGATCCTGAAGGCCTCGCTGTTCTTATCAATCACGGAGCCCGTAAGGGAATATACGAATAGACTTAAAGCTTCTAATGCTAATCCTGGATACTCACATTCTCCTTGATGTAGGGTCCTCACAGCGCAGTAATATTCAGGCCAGTGGTTAAAAATACAGAGGTGTTGCAGACGGGGAACATGATCAATAAGAGTGTTGACTTACACGGCGCTTGTCCAAGACAACTCGACAGACAGCCAATCAACGCATGTTTCGAAGAGCCAATCGGGCAATGAACTAAGTGGGTCTTGATCCACTGATCTCTCCACAGATTGCACAGCTGGTTATAATGCTCAACATCAGCGGGGATCTTCAACAAACACATCCGGTGTGGTGTATCGGTTTATCATTCCGCGTTTTCAATTGCAGAGCAATAAATGCCGCGGCGAGCGGGGTTCGACTCCCCGCACCGGAGAATCCAGCGAGCTCAGTATGAGTTCGTGAACTTTTTGTGGTGTTTTGCACTTCGTGGCGAGTTGTATTGACCCTGTCCAGAGCCAGCGTGAGTTTTTGGTCATACATTCCCTATTCAGTGTTAAACTAGCTTACTTGTAGGATTTTCCTGTTAGATTGGCTATAATAATCCCGATTAATGAACTATTTCTATACGAAAATTTGTCTTGGAGGTTCTTCTGAGTTTTGCTGGTAGAACATCCACAAACACTCTATACTATCTGAGAGGTCAAAACATTTCTAGCAGATACGAAACCCATGATATGAATCACTAGCTTGTATACTACAGTAGGGTAACTTCATCTTGCTCTGCGTTTCATCATGTTTCACTGTCCCGGTCAGCTTCACTCACAGAGTCGAAGCCAGCGTACTGGCGCAAACACGGTGCTTACGTGTTTTCACCAATCCCAACACATCCAATTATTCAGCTCAGTCACTCAACTTTCAGTTTGGCCTCATTATTGCTCCCAGCTGTCAGATTCATGATTCTTGGACATCTGCCAAAAACGGTAAGACCGTCGACGCCGAAATAAAAATGTGGGGCGGTCCGTATCCCGGGGGTTCCCCACTAGCCGTCACCTTCCCTCCACCTTGTCCGAAACTTGCTTTCCTTCCGCTTCTCTGAGTCTATTCCAACATCATTGCATTTCTTGTCTAGCGTCTGCACCACGTCGATTCCCTAAAATACACCCTTTCTTTGTTCGTGACTGGCTGGCATAGGTACTGCCTCCTCCTATCGGCAACACCCCGCGTCATGACGTCTACCGCCCACCGCCGCCTACTCCAAGAGTATCGCGCTCTCACCAACAACCCACCAGAGGGCATCACCGCCGGCCCCATCTCCGAGGACGATCTTCTTCACTGGGAATGCCTTATTCAAGGTCCTGAGGGTACTCCCTTTGAGGGCGGCGTCTTTCCTGCGGAGCTCAAGTTCCCAAAGGACTATCCGCTTGCCCCGCCATCAATGAAGTTCCTCGCCGACGTGTGGCACCCAAATGGTCCGTCAACTCTTCAGTCTTTCGCATGCTCATACTGACTTTCTACAGTATACCCTAGTGGTCTGGTATGCATTTCGATCCTTCACCCTCCCGGCGACGATCCCAACCATTACGAGCACGCATCCGAACGATGGTCACCTATTCAGTCTGTCGAGAAGATCCTAATCTCTGTCATGAGCATGCTCGCCGAGCCCAACGACGAGTCTCCTGCAAACGTTGAGGCAGCCAAGATGTGGCGTGAGCGACGCACCGAATACGAGAACAAGGTCCGCGAGGGCGTCCGAAAAATGCTGGGTCTATAGCATATAGATACTTAGTAGCAAGGAGTATTGGCGCACATCTTTGACACGGCGAGGCACGGCATAGCATGGTGTTTGGCAGCGGTATCGCCGCTAAATAAAATTCATATACTCATCCGACATCTGTCTCAAGACACGCTTCTAAGTGAACGCTCTACAAACTCCGTCCCTCATGCTCATGCATCGATCATAGTCCATTGTCCGCCTTAAACTTATCCCAGCTCTCGTTGAGAGTGCTAAACACTAATCCCGCGATCAACCTAACCTCGGTACTTGCATCTTGAGGAAGCTGCGATATGTTAGAGATACTTTAGACAGGGTGATGTGTGATACAATGCTTACCTTGTCAGGATGTGTCTTTGCGATAGCTTTCATATACGAGATCTTGACCTTATTGTTCATAACTAATTCGTGCAAGCCCACCTTCTTCCATCCACTGTTCTCCCACAGTACGCTATCGAGGCTAGCAAGGAGAGCACGAATATTGTCTCGTTTTCCGTCGCGCCACGCAGATACCTTGGCATCAACCTTCTCCGAGAGTACAAACTTCTCATCATCCTCCTTAGCTGCAGCCTCATTTGCCTCACGAAGACGCGTAACGGCCTCGGAGCTTTTTTGGGGTCCAAGACTGGCCGTTGCGGAGGGTCTAGGTCGAGGTTTGGCGGCGGCTGGCTTCGGTGCTGGCTTGGGCTTGGGCGCCAGAGTGTTTTGGCATCTCTGTCGACCCTTAATGGCATTCGATCCACCAACGCCACTCTCGACACACAATTGCCAGACCGCACTAGCATCGCCCCATTTCTCCATCTGTTCTAGAGCCTCTGCTTTCCTGCTCAAGGCCTTACCATAAAGGTCTTTCAGGTCTCGGTTTTCGTCTACTCCAGTCTCATTCTTCACAGCCACCACTTCGCCTTGACCATTGCCAGGTCCGATAAGCTTGAGTGCACTATCGGCATCTTCGACAGCCTGCTTAGGCTCTCCGGTCTTTAGTGCAGTCAAAGCACGATTACAGAGGAGCAAGATGGCAAGAGGATGTGTCGGTGGAACAGCTGACAGCGAAGACGAGTAGGATGAGTGGGCAGCAGCATAGTCACCTCGCTTGAAGTGAGCTGTACCCTGGAGACGGTGCTGTGTAGAGGTTTGGAGCGCAACGGGGCTGATAGATGGGATCTCCCGAGCTGGTCGTGGTGATGGTCTTGAGACAGGGGGTGATGGTCTCTTAGCCTGTGAAGTTGGTCGAGGAGAAGGCTGAACGGGTCGTGAAGGCATAGACTGGGATGGCCTTATTTCTTGAGAGTTAAAGAGTAGATCTGATTCTGGCTCCGCTGGCTTGGGTGGCGGCGCTGGCGAAGAGGTCTGTGAAGATGTCTTGTTTCTCCTATTGGGGCTTCTATAAGTAGAGATCTCATCATCTGCCGCCAGTCTGTTGAGTCGCGAATTAGAATCAAAAGCCGATGTCGGTGGTGGCGCTTGCTGCTGCCATCGAGGTGCTGGACTGGCACGACTACCAGCGGAGTGAGCGGGTGATTGTCCTCTCGATGTCTGAGGAGTAGCCCTCTGCTCAGTAGGTCGACTGTTAGTCCGACGAGGCTGTGGGCGGCCGCCAGCTTCAAGCATCATAGCTTCGTCTGTAGCGTCTGCTCGTGCCTTTCCTGCGCTCTGCGATCTGGACTGTTGCTGTGCTTCCCGCATCCACTTAGGTTGGCTTGGGTCGCCGCCTTCTTGTTGGAAATCAGCGACAGCCTGCTGCATCTTCTTCTGTCCGGTCTTCCAAAGTGAGTTAGCAGTCTTGAACAGGCTGTTGCCCATGGCAGCAGCTGTCTTGGCCAAGTCCTGATCGCTTGCTGCAGGCGACCTGCTATCACCTCTTGGAGGTCGACTTCCGGGCCTGCTAGAACTGGCAGACGAGGGTTTCCCCTGTGCCTGTTCCTTGGACTTCCGATGCGCCTCGTCCAGGAGCCAATTGACCGCAGCTTGAGCATTGTAACCGTCGCCGCTCTCAACCAAAGCACGTCGGGCATCGTCAGCGGAGAATCCATAGTCCACAAGTTGCGCCACAGCTCGATCAAAAGGATCCTTGTTGACTCTTGGCGTTCTTTCAATATACTGCTCACGTGCTGGAATAGCTTCCTCTTCAGATGAGCTTGAGTCCTCGTCCTCAATAGGCTTTCCAGGTTCCGCATGTGGTCTGTTGGCTTCCTGTTTGCGTCGCACCTCCTCAACTGGACGTGCAAGATCTCCCAAAAAGTCATCATCATCTGCCAATTGGGTAGACGCCGCAGGAGCAGCAGCGGGTTTCATCTGATTCAGGCCAAAGGGATCATCATCTTCAACTCCAAAGGCGCCTCCATTAGCTCCTTTTCCGTTGGGATTCCATGCGCTGGGGTCGCTCAAGTTAATTGGCGCAGCTGCTGCGGCGCCATTCGCTGGAGTTGATCGATGCGACTCGGGAGGGGGATAATGACTCGAATTGTCGACTTTGGTATCCTTATTGAAGGCGGCAAAGAGGTCATCGTCGTCGATTTTCGGCGTGTCTGAGATGGGTGGCGGTTGTAAAGCAGGGCTCGTCGACGCACCTCTGCTTCCAAGTGAATCCCAGAACTGGCCATTACCAAACTGGGCCTCCTGTTGTTTCCTCCTCTCCTCTTCCTTCTGTCGCTTCTCAGCCTCAAGTTGCGCCTGTCGCTCAGCCAAACTCAGGTTCTGCTTCGACTTTGCCGGTCCGAAATTCATCAAATGGCTGAAACTGTCCTGCGATGGCTTCGTCGGTGCCGGCTTAGGGGCCACGGATCCAGAGCCCTGCGTGGACAGAGGCGTGTTACGTCCTGAGCCCAAAGGGGATGGTGTTGGTCGCATGGGCGCGAACGCTGAGTTCATAATAGGCGGCTTCGGTTGGCCGCCGGCTGGCTTAGAAGACCAATCGAGGCCTGAGAGGTCGTCCATCGTGAAATATCTGGTATGTTATTGGAAATAGTTAATCATAGTACGAGAAGTGAAGTAGTTGTCTGTTATCGCAACTGCGAGATGCCACCCCAGCCAGGGGCCGCATTCGGGTGTGGGGTTTTTGTGTGGCTGTGCATGGCTTGTGGCTCATCACATGATTCTGTACAGATCAGACTCTGAGCGTTAATTCCTGTTTGCTTGATGAAAGAGAAACGATCATACTTTCAAGTAGAGTCTATATATTTAATTGGATATTTGACCTCGGCGTCGGTCCGAAGAAGGAATGTATTAGACTCGGCAAGCCACTGGAATTGCGAACCGAGCAAGCCATGTTCGAAACGAAAGACATTGGTATTTGAAAGTCACCATTGTCTTCTATATGCAGCGACAGTTTGACTGAAAAGAATTACAGGCAGTTACTGGCCAGTACGAAAGGGAAATGTAAGACTACTCAAGAGCGGAATGTACTTCGCAGAAATGAATATTGCCATTGACAACGCTGATTCACTTACACGTCATACATCGCCTACCCTGCACTACTCTGATGTTTGATATGGACAAACACTGTCAATATGTACGCAAATGTACGATAGAGGGTTGTTTGTGTAAGTGACAACTAACAGCGCACAGTCGTTGATGTGAGCCACGAGCTGAACTGTCATAGCTTGATTTTTCATCCATATTAACATTGCCTCGAGGACAGAAATGGTCACGCGGATACATGATCATGAAAGCAGTAACATTATCGATAGGATCCTATGATTAACACTGCATCCTATTACACTCATACTTAGTTGTGTTATCAGTGATGTTTCGTGATGAAACGGGGCGATGGTCTCCAAAATGCCCAAACAACGCGGATATTGGACGCCAGGACCTGTTCTCAAATTAGACTGTACCATCGTTACAACAGCTATGATATTACCAATAAATAGAACAGCCAAGGAGCGTTGGGCGGTTCTGGACTGTCTACTGTTCCAGACGTGCATGGCGCTGGTTGAACGAGCTTTGAGGCAACCGAGAAACGTGGCCATGGTTGTTCTGCCATCCAGAAAACTCACTCTCATTAATGAGCTGAAGATTTGCAGATCAAGTATTCAATCCACGCCTGTATACGTAATCGCAATGTCGATTCAATAATGCCTCGTGCTGGCACTCAATGTCAAGGGAGATTGGACAAGTAAATCATACCGTAACAGATCTACGTTGAAGCGTGGTCCTAGCAATTAGAGGGAGCGAAAACTAACTGACTGGTATGAGCATTGAACGACCAAAGCGTAGTGATCGAAATCTCCCAAAAATCCAAAACCAACAAACATAGCCGAGGAAGCCAAGATCCTTAAGTTGAAAGACATTAATTATGTCGGTCTTTATTTACGATATTTACAGGGTCACCACTTTTGTTAGCTAATTTCAGAGTCCAGACTGAGGTCATCCCGCCGTTAAACGACCTACGCCACTCTCGATTATGATAGGGGGCTTGGGTGCCAGTGAGGGACAGACTGCCCCTGATTGGCTGGTACCGGAAGTGAAACCCGTTTCAGGCATCTTGGCCCCTCAGATATTCCAACCCCTGGATATAAATCCTTATGCAAAGCAAATAAATGTTTGGGAAGTTACAACGTTGAAACTCTTGGGCAAACATGCCGGTGAAACAGACAAATGGCGATGAACACCCAGAACCTGAAGATCAAGGCCATCAATCAGCTCTCGTCCAGGGAGGTTTGAGGTTTCGTTCGTTACCATTGAGAAACCCCTTGTCTCTCCCTTTGCCTTTGAGGTTTGGACCCTTGCCTCGCTCACAACACTAGCAAACCAGCCATCCACAAACTTGACGACACCCAATCTGAGACAATTTACCAGAATCAGTCCAACGGCGTCATAGCCACACAGATCATGAGAGAGTAATTAGCAACCGATCTAACCATGAATGGCCAGCATGTCCTAGCCTTCTCTTTAGTGTGTAATAGAATGCCGTACGAAGGAGTTTTGGCCATTCGATGTTATGCAATCATTTAAGCAGTTGTGCACGTGGTGGAGCCTACGCGACTCTGCGAGGCGCAGGAATCCAATCAATGTTTGGTTGAACGGTGAAGATCTGTAGATTCCAATCTGGAGAGTTGCTCATCCGTTGTGATTGACAGGAGAAATGATGGAAGCCCAGCCCTTCTGGCGCCGTTCGCAATGTGACCCGATGCTGTGTACAGGCTCTGATTCGGCAACTCTTCTGCCGAGATGTCCCCTGGATCTGCTAGCAACTGGCATTATCCAGGGACAGCCTTGGAGATCTCCATGTGTTCATTCCGACCACCAGCTGCTGAGTGCCTTGTACCTGCATTTATCGCGTGCCGTTCATCCACGGATAGGTATTTACGACATGCTATTTGCCCCTACCAGCGCTTACAACCTTCAAGATCGGCCAATGACCCCAGAGTATTCTTCTTAGTTCGGTATCACGACGCAAGACCACTCTAATACCCCTGTGCGTTATAGGTTGACCCTTGGAACCGATGCAATTTTGACTGTGACACAACCAAAGTATCCCCTCCCCTCTCAGAAGAGAAATGCTCCGTTCAGTGCCAAGATGAATTGAATTGCCCCCGGGCTAGAACCAAACACCCCATGCTCTTTGCTTTTGCCTGTCAATGCCATGTTCTAGCGGCGTGTGCTCCCACTTCGCGGACGATCGTCCTCTCCATTCTCCATCTTTCAAGCTGTGCATTTCCCTCTTGCTATTCCATTCCTTTCCGATTGCTTTTATTCTCGGGGTTTATCCATTCACTCTTTTGAAGTTCGGGCTGGCTCGCTTCACACTCATTCAAGTCTGTTTTCCGTCTCTTTGACGTTCGTATCTACACTCTTTTCTGGTTTCGACCATACCCACGCTCCTTGCGATTCTGTCCGACAAATCACATTCGTTTATCATTCAAAAACCGATTATCTGGTTCTTGTATTGTGAAGAGAATCGACAGGTCGAGATCTGAGAGGTGAAGCGTTTTGCGAAAGGAACGCGACTCACAAGACTCGGAAGAACCACGATTGTATCACAACCATTCCGTTGCAATAACTTTACCGGATCTACCGAAACTTGTGAAAACCGTTGATCGTCAAGTCGTTACAAAAAACGGCAGGCTGATATAGGCTCCAACGGTTCACTAAAGTTTATCAACGAGGCTTGTCGACCGCTCATTTCGAAAACGGCTCTCATCTGAACTGTCGACATCATTACTCTCTACTACCGAGACTCTTCTGGTTCAGTTTAATTGAATTTCTGCCAAAAGCTTCCCGAAGCGTCTGTCAACCACTTTACGCTGAGACAAGTCCACCGGTTTGTGCGGGAGTTGGCGTCCGTAAACCGGAAGCGGCACCATTGGACAAAGCATTTTTTGTCCCTGATTCAATCCAGCACCATCAAAGGACCCGGTGGCTCAATCCGGCAGTGTGGCAGTGACCTCGACGTTGGGATCTGAACCACGCGTTGGAATTCAGGGTCTCGGATTCTCAGCGGGGCTGGCCAGACTATTCGCAAGAGTGTGCAACCATCGAGCAATAAAGGCATACCCAGCCATTACAACTTTTGGTTTCAATATTTCCTCTCTGATCCCTTCTTTCGTTTCTTTTTGAATCAATATTGTTCAGAAAGGGAATTTCGAGGTTTACAGAAACTCATCATCGTTTTGACTGAAACTCCACAGTACGTTGACGGTGAGTACACTTCCACTTCCACTTACACCCTCACTTTACCATGATCGGAACTCGACTACAACGACTCAAAAAAGCACCTGTCATTTCAAAATACACAAAGAACATAATGCCGTTCATTTTTCCTTCGCAAAATGGTCTTTCAAAAATGCATTTTGCCCATTACGCACATTGAGCCGTACCTGCGGCGGCTATCCGCTGCCAGCTGGCTTTCGCCTGAGTCCCTCCTTCCGTTTGATGCTCGACAGCAATGCTCTTTCCCTCCCGTGCCAAATCTGGGCGATTGCTTGCACTTTCCTTTTAAACATGCAGTTTTCTTCTTCTTCTTCTTCATCATCATCATCACAATTCTAACATCTCTCATTCAGATCGCCTCGTTGCATCGTCCACTCCTTCAAATATCGCCTCTCGAAGGCTCAATTTCAAGCCTGAATAGGCCGATACCATCAAGATGCTTAAATCACTCATCACTCTTTCTGCTGGCCTAGTAGGCAGCGCCCACGCTTTCTGGCGCATGGAGTGTCCCGGCCGTGTGGGACTTGCCCGTATTGATCCTATTGTCGACCCTGGCACAGTTTCTAAGCATGCCCACGCAATTCATGGGTCTTCCAGTAAGTCATGAACAATGAGACCTTTCTGTGATGCTATATGTGCCATTATACAGTACACAGCAGGGCGCCGAAAGAGCTTCGCTAACACCGCCAGACTTCGCTGAAACCGTCACCACCGAACAACTCCTAGATGCCGATTGTACATCGTGTCGAGTAACACAAGACAAGTCTTCTTACTGGCATCCTGCTATGTATTTCCAAGATGGCGATTCTGGAGAGTTCGAACTTGTTCCCCAAGTGGGTGGTATGCTTGCGTAAGTACCTCTTTAAGGATACCGGAAAGCAATATCCATAATCCTGAATAGTCAAACACAACGAATTGGAAGTTAATACTCTATAGTTACTACCTCCTCTTTGGAGATAACGTGACAGCTTTTCCTCCTGACTTCAGGATGCTCTCTGGTTCAAATGACCGAAGAAGCTACACCATCGGTGATCCAAGCAAGCCAGACCCGGAGAAGTCTATGTGGCAAGCTCTCGGTCAGACCACACAAAGCGATCTAGCTCAACGGGCACTCGGATTCAACTGTCTGAACTACCAAAAAGCCCCCGAAGGTACCCTCTATCGTCACTACATGCCTGATAAGGCTTATCTCGATGCGAACTGTGCCGATGGCATCCGTCTTGAAATCATGTTCCCATCGTGCTGGAAGGGTGGTGATGCTGTTGACAGCCAAAATCACAAGG